TTGCATTTAAAAGCATTATTCTGAGAAGAGGTTCACAGGCTTCACCTTACTGTCAAAGGAGTACATGACACAAAAATGTTTAAAAACTGATGGTCTAGAGTATAGGGCCCAAAAGACCGAGGAGACTGAGAACAATACCACCAGAAGACTAGCTGAAAGAACTGGGCTAATGCTTAAAGGAAAAAAAAAAGATTTGTATATTATGATGACATATAAGGATAGGAGGGATATGGTATATAAGGACATTTAAGGGACATTGTCACATGGAAGAAGGATTGCATTTCCCCCAATTTTAATCACATGAGAGCCAGGAGAAACAAGACTTTTGCTGTTGGAGTTTAAGAGATTAGATATCACTGCACTGCCCATGAAGAATGCACTGTTCCTTAGCGAATGCTAAGCTAGAGGCAGGCTTTCACAGGAATATAAAGTGTCCTCCTTGGTCCCAGAGGGAAGAAATAGGATAAGTGGTGGAAAATTACAGGGAGGCAGATTTTAAGCTACTGGAAATATCCAATCTAACAATTAAAGCTGTCCAAAAATATAATGGGCTGCCTCTGTGGGGTTAATGACAAGCTTATCACTGGAGGTCCTCATGCTCATTGGGGATGATATAAATAGGATTTATGATTTGGTTAAAATAGGAGTTGGATGAAATGACATTTGAGTTCTCATTTTAACAAATATTTCCTGAGGAAAAACCATCCCATTTTTCTCCCTTTAAACTTCCCCTCCCACCTTCATCTCTGATCTACCCAGAATTTAGCTTACTGATCACTGAAATTACTGGGTCAAAGATAACAAGATGGACAAACTTTTTCAGCTTTGCACATTAATCAGAATGAAAAGTGGACTTTCATAGTATGTTATTGATCATATTCAAATATTAAATATTTAAAGCTATTCAGTGTTTCATTCTAAGCCAATTATACAAACTCTAGTTTTATTTGTTCTTTTATTTATTTTTTGTTAAAAAAAAGGGGGGGAAAGGCTATCATTATCAGGATTGATATTAATAAAATAATTAAAAAACTGAAGGGCAACAGGATGCAAAATTCCATCCAGAGTATTTTTAGAAGAACAATAATATAAACAAAATTAATTACTTTAGTAAAATATAAAAACAGAAAGACAGAATGGGAATTGAATTGTGCAAACATGTCCCATCTGGATTTAATTTTAATTCATCAATTTATTTAAGTTGTGGGATATTATATTTTTTCACATATTGGACTCAATTTAAACCATTACACACCAATCCTCTAGCACTTTAAAATAAAAACAGGCCTTGGTTTTCTCCACAAGGCTTATATTTTGTTAACTTCATGAAGATAGGACTTATGTCTTATATTTCTTCTGTTTCTCACAATGTGCAAGGACTACTTACATGAAAAAGATTCTTCCAATTCTGCCATACGACAGTGAAATGTTTACCCCCCCCCAAAAATTGTGCTAGAATAAAAATTTTCTGCAGAGTAAAACTCCATATGTTTCTGTGGTCCCAAAGATTTCATTTTTATGAGCTGTTTATGCTTCTCATGTTGATATTTGAATATGTAGTATTATTTTGCATTTATTAATCTACCACAGACATCACCATCATATAAAAGACTGTACAATTAGAGTGACTGGAATGAATTATTTTTGAGGAGTTGGAACTTCCTGGCATTTCATAAATGAAAAAGCATCTTGCCAGATTCCATTACTAATATCACTAGAAGAGAGATATGGATGTCTCTTTGGTGTATTGATGAGGGATAAAGTCTTATCTATTTCCCCCAGTTCTCCATTCAGAATCTTTATTGAGCAATAGAAACAAGAACACATCATTTCTTCCAATGTTTGTTTAGGCAGGAATCCATAAGCTTTTAGAATGAAGTGAATTGCTGAAATAAATACATTGCTCTCTTTCTCCAATGAATCCAAAGTTGTGTGTGGGTGGAGGGTCAAAACTACAATTGGGAGCATAACATAGCAAAGAGGAATTCGCTTAGGTCTTGTAAATGACTTGTGCTGTGAAAACAAGAGTCATTTTAATACTGTTTTGCCTCATTAAATAGCCTTTAAAAACTGGAGCAACAAATGAGTTGAATTATGTAATAGACTATTATATTATCATTCACGGACTATGAAGTCATGTCACTAACCGAATTTACTAAGATTAACTAACATTGAGATGTCTTAAATAGTTAGGTACTGTATTTGCTTAGTCTGGCTGATGCTACTAAATTCACATCATAAGATTTAAAGCTGACCAGTCTAAATTAATCCCCAAGACCTACCAATGTGAAGCTACATACATATCAGCTATCCATTCACCCTTGTTTTCTTTTGATAAAGTCAGACTGCCTTGTAGTGAACTACAAGGGTTAATAACTCTAAATACAAAGGTTATATTTCCCCACTAACCCTTGTAAGAGGAAAAAGAAAGATTGTTGAATTGTAATTACATGCTATTTTGTGTCATGAAACCTCATCTTTCTGTTATAGAAATGGATAGAACCGCTATTTCAAGAATTTTTATGTTAATAGAAATTGAACCGCAAGAGGGGAGCATGATGTCTTAGATAAAAACTTGGTCTGGTAGTCAGGAATACCTGGGTTAAAACTCATTCTCTGACACATCCTTGCTGTGAGACTCTGGCCAAATCAGGTAACTTTTTAGTATTCCAGGCAAGTCTATAAGACCGGAATTAGCAGAGAATATACTGGGAGATAAATTCTCTGAGGAAATCACAAGCCCAGTTAAAAAAAAAAAGCATAAAGGACTTCCATCTATCATTATCCTTTATAGTATAGTTTTGAGTAATAATAATAATAATATACCAATTTGGAAAGCATGAATTTTATAAAGTTTTCTGGTAACAGCACAATGACAAAGGAAGTATTATATTGTTTACAACATTTTAATTCATGATTTGTTTTAAAGCCCCTCTTAGCAAAGGTATTATCTTAAGTGCCAAGGATACACAAGATTTTTTTTTTTTAAAAAAAGAGAGATAGTCCCTGTCCCTAAGGGGCTTACTTTTTTTTTTGGCTAGGCAATGGGGTTAAGTGACTTGCCCAGGGTCGCACAGCTAGTAAGTGTTAAGTGTCTGAGTCCAGATTTGAACTCAGGTCTTCCTAACTCCAGGGCCAGTGCTCTATCCACTGTGCCACCTAGCTGCCCCCCAGGAGCTTACCTTCTATTGGAATAGAGGCAAGGAGAGAATAATGCATGCATTGATAAATATAATTCAAAGTAAGGGGTAATCAGAACATATGGGATTATAGATTTAGATCTGGAAGATACCTTAGAAATTATTGGATCTGGCCTCATACATAAAGGTTAGTTAACTTGCCTAGGGTCACACAGCTAAATGAGAGATGTAAAGAAAGCGCTCTGTGAAAATTTGACAGAGAAAACACTTTAATCTTAGGGGACTTGGGAAAGATCTTCGGAGAGGTTAGCCCCCGTGCTAAGCCTTGAAAGAAGATAAGGATTCCAAAAGGCAGAGATGGAAGTAATGGCTCCTGCCATGGGGAATGACCTATATGAAGGTGGGGGAAGATAACATGTTGAATTTTTGAAATGCCTAGTACTCTCAAATGTGGACTGCAAGAAGAGAAATATTAATCAATTATAGAACTAGCAAAGTAAAATATATGAACTGCCTATTTTAACAATAACAATGTTTACCTAGTTTTCACAATCCTTAGTCACACTGTGTGGTAAGATGAACTGTGTATTTATCATTCAAGGACCTGTCTAGGAAAGTTCAAACAGTGGCTTATCAGCCAGGTGGCCATGGGGTGATAAATTTGTCAGTGCAGCAACATCTCAAGAACATTCAACTATATCACAAATGCCCTCTGTATCTAGGATCTACACTAACAAAATCTCAGATTGCTGATATATCCATCATATTCATGTCTAGCACATATGATAGAATAGTAGGTATTTAATTTGGTCTCAGATTTTAAAGAGCAGCTCTGAGAAACCTTAGTCTTTCTCTTCTATTGCCCATCAAGGACGTACTTTCAATTATTGTTATACCTATCAAACAAGAAAATATATATAAGATTGTACAAGATTTTTTTTTGAAAAACAAAACCTAAAAATAAACTAGATTGAAATCTCATGTTGGAGACAATATATTTCTCTAGGTACGGAGGTGGTGATACCCTTACATGCAGTGTACTTTTGCACATTTGTGGCTATATTAGGTCTACTGAGTACCATTCCCAATGGTTGCAGTTACTTTGGTAATTAAATTAAATCAAGTTAAATTGGTAAAGAAGGGTCTTTTAAAAGAAAACAAACAAACAAAAGAGGGCAAAAATGACTGTCATCTAGTGAGATGACAAATACACAGTTCTGAAATGTTATTTCATTACTATTCTAAAGGAAACAGACCTAGAAAGCACTTAAAATCAGAAGCCCATCTTTGAATGGACAATTTAAGAAAACAAGCCTGGCCCATCATCTCACCAGTGGGAGAATTTATGTTATCAGGACAAAGTAAAAGAATTTGGCTAATGGAAAATTTTCAGTGCTACCTATTCCCAGCTCTTCAAGTGAAAACAGTCCTCAGGAATTATTTAACATCTTTCCACTTGGTTATTCATTGCATCTTATAGAGGAAACTTTAGTCATATGTCTAAGTTAGGCATTTTAATTTTCTGTTTTTTTCCCCAACTAGACATATTATTCATATTAGGTCTTTGTAACACACTTTTTGTAATTTAAAAAGTCCTGGGGGTGGTGGATGAAATGAAGAAAAAGGGCATGTATTTAGAGTGAATTTGGGTGAGAGTAGAAGAGTGTTTTCTCCAGGTCATAGTGTAGTGTGATACAATATGTATTAATTCTCTGTAGCATCCATTATAAGGAATATAATTTGTTGACCTTGTCCATAGATTCTGAGATGACATATCATTTGTGGGGTCTGCAGTCTTAAACCTATTTATTCTATTAAAAAATGAAATATGATCTAATGAAGAATTATAAGTATACTTACCACGTGAAGAATTTTGTTTTCTGTTTCATATACTGTGCAGTCCTGGGGAAAAAGAAACAAACAGCAAGTTAAAAAATCCTACGTCACTTAAAATTTTTTGTGATGTCTCATGGCATTTCAATTGGAGAGAATCTTAAAAAACACAACTCAAAAAGTGTGGGGAAAGATTCTGTGTAACCATTTGCCCTCCAAGTATTAACACCTCCAAAAATTTGCCAGTGACAAGTACATTTTGTGGTCAAACCCCATCTAGAATATTGTATACAGTTCTGGGTATATTCTTCAGGGAAGGTTTATGTGAATCACATTTTTAAGAGGGCATGGATGATCTGGGTAATATTCAGAGGACAATTAGGACTGTGAAGGATGTCATGATCAAACCATGTGGGGATCAGACTACTAAGGAAGTAGGAGTAGGGAGGATGTTTAACCTTGAGTAGAGAAGACTCAGGCTGGGGTGTGGTAGTTGTCCTCAATTGTTTGTGGTTGTCATGTAAAAGAGGGATTATATTTACTTCACTCAGTCCCATGCAGGAAGCAGAATTAGCAGAATTGGGTGATGGGAATTGTAATCAAGTATAACGTAAGGAAAAGTTTCTTAGCAATTAGACCAGTGCAATAATGGAGCAGACTGCTATGAGAGGTAGGGGGTTGCTTTTGCTAGAGTTCTTCAAGGAGAGTTTACGTGACCACTTGTGGTGTATACTGTAGCAAAGATTCTCACACAGTTGGTTATTCGGTCCATCTCAACTCTGATTTGTCAAGTAAATAGGGACCATGAATACAGTGACAAAGCATAGACAGTGCTTAGCACAATGCCTGGCACATAGTAAGCACTGAATAAATGTTTATTAAATTGAACTGAATGTACAGTAACACTCCTTTTCAGAGATGACTGTAAATAACCTACACTCAACTGAAGGGTTGTGAAACTACTATTAACTGAAAAAATGACGATGAGTTATCTGGCACAAAGTTGACACAATGATAGTTTATGGAATGAAGGAATGAGATATCCAAGTACTTTGGGTCCTTCAAGTTTTAATTCAGAGACTATTTACCTTATTTTACACCAACCTTCTGCCCCTATGACTTGGTTACATTACCCCAGGAGACTAAGTTCACCAAACCAGGTGGTGAGAGCAGGTGGATATGAAGGAAGATGCATCTAAAGCTAAACACCAAGGAATATGGTTTGAATAACCAGAGTGTCAGAGTAACTTTTTAAGGTATAGGGGGAATAATAGAAGCCTGATGACTTTAATCCATGATATTGTGTTGCAATTATACATTTTATTTTAATTTGAGCTTTAAGTTGAAATGCCAAAATTAAAATGACTCTCATACTTAGGAATGGCATTTTATAATATTCTTGAAACAGTAATCTTAATAGGGACTGGGCCTATAGTTTCATTTATGTTGACAGTTCTCAGAGAAGGAAACATCCTTTATTAATATAAGCTGGTACTTTCTCTACATCTTAGAGTCTTATAGAATTGACTTGCCCAGGGTCACACAGCTAGTGTGGGTCAGAGATAGGGCTTAAATCCAGGCCCTAACTTCAAAGCCAGCTCTCTATCCACTTTACGTATTGCTTATTTATTACTAATAGCCTATCAAAAATGTTTCCAATAAATGAGTTCAAGAGATCTGTTGCATTTTTAAGTGTAATTTTATTATGACAAGCTATTTTTCCCCAAAACTATAAGTTTATGAAGAATTTTAATAGGAAATGGGATTATTATAAAGAAATTTAGCTTAAATAAAGCTTTTTACATGTATAATAATGCTATATAAAGAGAGGTACACCTTTATTATTCAGAGATGTCTTTTAACACAATTCAAACTTAAACGTTCTATTGAATTTGTAACTAGAAACACCCTGGAATTATTCCTGAAAAAATATATCTTCAGTAACTCAAGCAGGCCTTTACATTTCCCAGAAACATTCATTTTAATACCCTGATATGGTCTTTAGTGATGCAACCTTGCATAGTAGGTAGAAATGGCCTTAGAGTCAGAAAGAACTGGATTTAACTTCTGCCTTAGCATGACTCATACTGACTGTGTGATCTTAGGCAAATCCCTTAATCTCTCAGTGTCTCAGGAAACTCTCTAAGACTTTTTGTAGGAAGGTGCTAATCACCATTAGCATTGATAGAAGTTTCCTATACAAATGAAATTATGGGGCCATCTCTATCAGCTCCCTTCCCTGAAAAAGAAACCAATCTTGTAACAAAATAAAAGAGTTAAGCAAAAATACCCTTCACTGGGACTTCATCTGACAATGGATACCACATCTTGCATTAGTATCTACCCCTGCCCCAAGGAAAACAGCATATTTCATTATGTGATCTCTGGAACCATTGTTAGCATTTTAATTACTAAGAGTTCAGCTTCCTTTTAATAATATTTTGATTTACACTTATTTACTTACACAATTTACACATTGATGACAACTCTTTTCTATTTTATGATAAAACAATTTTTCTTCCAAAACTTCAACTAACTTCACTTTAATGCTCTGAATGTCATACCTTGAACCATTTATTGCGAGCTTCTAATTATGTAATCTTTCCTCCATAAGAAATTCTATTTTAGTAATCTGTCTTTTCTTTCCCCAATTCATCCACTACACAACTGTCAAAACATGGATCTTGACCATTCTTTCCTTGCCCAAACACACAAACACATACAGACATGCATACACAAATGCACACACGTACACACACACACACACACACACACACACACTAACTTCAATGGATTATGATTTTATACAGAATCTTTAGCTTAGCTTTTAAGGTGCTTGATAATTTAGCTTCAACCTTTCTCTGTAGTATTACCTCACATCATTTCTCTCACACCCCTTCAATTCCAGCCAAACTGGACTGTAAGCTATTCTCTATACCAAACCATTCTCCATGCTTGTGCATGAGTGGTCCCCCATGTCAGCTGTTTTCTCTCTTTTATCCTATGGAATCCTAAGCTAAATGGTTCTCAAGCTACTTTTGCTCACAGTATATCATTCCTTACCATAAGGAATCATAGCATACCAAATGGTTAAATTGGTAGCATGAGAGCCACGAGAGTCAGGAGACTCACCAGTGGACAATTTCCCTTCAATAAGAGCAGCCATTATGTTGAGTTCTTCATGAGTTCAAGCCCTGACCAGTTTTGAGGTTAATGAATGTGTTTAATGACACATATATGTAATAGATATTTGTTTATTTTGTCAATATTATACTTACCATACCATGTATGCTGGGTAAGTAAAAGATATATTAAAATTATTTCTAAGTGTTCTTTTATCTGCAGTTCCAAACTCCAAAGTACAACTAGAGAAGTTCATGGCACATTATTTAGCTATTTCTTTTAAGGGACAACTCTAGTGTTTCCTCTAGAAGGCCTTTCTGATCTTCATATATTCATAAAATTTTCTTCATATTGAAATTGCTGTGTTTATTTTCATTCATGTACAACATGTTCATGTATATGTTCATGTACAGCACAGGTATTGGAGGGATTTTTCGCACATTAATGAGATCACAGATGTATTTGAACATTTGAGTATTCTGAGCATATGTTGTATTCCCATCCTCCACTCAGTAGAATGTAAGCTCCTTGAGGGAAAGGATAGTTGCAATTTTTGGCTTTTATGTTCCCAGTACCTACTATAATGCTTTATATTGAATAAGTATTGAATTACTGCATTGGATTGAATATTTCTATACAGTTTCATTATCTCTGAATGAGTTATGTACCCATTTCTTTTTAGTTGAACAAAATCATAATTCTCAAAAGGTAAGGCATTACTAATAAAATAACCAGCATTACTGTATACTAAAGACTGAAAAGTCTTTCTTTGCCTACTCTTTTTCTCCATCATTTTCCATGAAATTCTTTTCCAAACCACACAATACACTTCCAAGTCACTGAATTAGTTAGAAAGCAGATTATATATAGAAGTTTTTTTTTTCCTTTTAAGAACTTTTTTTCTTTTTCAGCAAAGTATTCAGAGAAACTGCCACCCACTGCCTAGCTACTCCCACACAAGATCATAATCAGATATCCTCGCTGTGAAACAATGACATTATTACTTTGCTCACCAGAATAGACAAAAAATTTTCTTCCTACATGTTAACACTCTGTATTCCTTATTTTTCAATGCATGGATTTTATGTAAGCTTGGTGTACCTGAGGTATATATCATTCAGTGTAAGTAAAATTTCTTAAGAATATGTGCATAGAGTCATAACTTCAGCAGATAGGATGATAGCATAGCACAAAAAGCAAGTTATGCCTTTTGTATTGTAAAGGAAAGTTTTTATCTCTGGGGTGTTAGATACTGCTATGTCTCATGTAACTATAATTCTAAATTCAGCTTCAGAATATTTATTTTAAGTTGTTAACAAGAACAGCCTTTTAAAAGAAAATAAACATAATAAAATAATTTTACCAAGAATGTATATTTTAAAGTGATCATTGTAGAGTTTAAAAGAATTAAATTCTAGAAATTTTACCGAGTTTTAATCATGTTAAAGGTCTTCTTTACAATGGTCCACAACATTATAAGTTTCTTATTATAGTGCCCTCACTTGTATTAAATCCCACAATCACAAATAAATGATATGGGCAAGATCAGAGTTCTGAGTTCTTGGTGTCCAATTTTGTGTTTATTTGTTATTTAACAAGAGAGAAGATAGAATATTCCAGAGCAGATAGAAAGCCACACTCAGTATTTCCCTAAGCATCAAATTATGCATAGCAGATAATTAGAAAGAAGAGTAAATCAAGTTTCATTTTGGTTTTGAGGACAAAATGATTTATTCATAAATTCATATATACTTCTACAGAATTCTTTTCATTATTAGTTAAAACTGTATCTTATACATAAATCATATATGTATACACATACACACATAAATAATTCTATACTTTATTTTCTCCTAGAAAAGGGGAAAATCTTCACTGTTTTGGGGAAAAGATTGGAAAAAAATTGACCCTGTAACCATTCATTGTTAGTCCCTTTACCTCCCATC